GGCGGGAAACGATCGAGCTGGAATCGGCGGTGCCTCGCCGATGGATCAGCGGCAGGCTCTCGCTAGCGAATCCGCAGAGACTGCTCGATAGCTCGATCTGCGCAGCGACTCGACAGCTCGATAGGAGCTCGATAGCTCCATCTGCGCAGAGTGCGCATCGACTGTGGACGGTAGCAGGAAAGAAGGAGAAGACAGGAGGGAGGAGAGGAGAGAGGAGAGAAGAGGAGGAGGAGGAGGAGGAGGAGGAGGAGGAAGAGGAAGAGGAGGAGGAGGAGGACAAGGACGAGGAGGAGAACAATGAGGAAGAGGATGAGGAGTAGGAGGAGGAGGAGGAGGAGGAGGAGGGGGAGGAGGATTGGATTGGATTGGATTGGATTGGAATGCCCTCGAAAGGGGGAGCGCACAACACTAAAGCCGCGAGACACCGCGGCCGGCAGGCGCCCGCGCGCGGGCGCGCGGCGGGTGGCGCACGGCGCCAGCGGGCCCCCCGCAAGCGGGCAGCATGGGAATAGCTGGACAGCTCCCCCCCCTCGTTCTGTCGGCCGGAAACGGCCACGCCGGAAACACCCGGCAGCCGACAGAACGGGGGGGGGCCAGTCCAAGCCAAACCCACGCCACCCACCCCAGGGGCCCGGCCCGCCACGACACGACACGACGCGACACGACAGGGGGACGAAACGAACGACACGACATGAAGACAAGACACGGACGAACGACACGACAGAGACGAGCCACCGGTCCCGCCCCAGGGCGGCGAACGCTGGGGGGGAACCAGCACCGCCCTGGGGGAGGCCACGGGACCTGGCGACCCCCCCGGGGGAAGGAAACCGCACTTTGGCGGCGTCCCCCGGGGAGCGGGGGCTTTTCGCCCCTCGGGTCCGGCGCTCCCCGCCTGCGCCAGGAGGACCCTAGGGTCCCGACCCCTCCCCTACGGGAGGGCCCCCTCGGGGCGGAGGAGGAGGAGGAGGAGGGAAGAGAAGGGGCCCAGGGGAGGAGGAGGAGGGAAGAGAAGCAAGGCCCTTCTGAGGAGGAGGAGGAGGAGGAGGAGGGAAGAGAGAAGAGGATTGATTGGCCCAGGGAAGGAGGAGGGAAGAGGAGGAACAGGAGGAGGAGGAGGAACAGGAGGAGGAGGAGGAAGAGGAGGAGTGATCGGGCTGGCGGCGACACATCGCACGCGATATGTCCTACGCAAACCGTATGAGTGGGGCGGCGGGGAAGTCTGCCGGCTCCCATTCACAGAGCGCCCGCGGAGAGGGGACCCGCGGCGCCGCCGGAGGTAGAGGAGAAAAGAGGAGGAGGAAGATTGGGGAGAGACGAGGAGGAGGAGGAGGAGGAGGAGGAGGAGGAGGAGGAGGAGGAGGAGGAGAAGAAGACAACCTCCTGCTGTGTCGGCCGCGCGCGTAGGTGGGCCGTGCCCCCCCCCCCTCAAGCCCCAGCGTCCTTGTAGGGGGCCTTGGGCGCGAAGAGGTTCCACGGGATCTCCTCCGCAGGCCGTGGTTCGGCGGCTACCATAGGGGGCCCTGGCCAATGGCTTCCCGAGCTGGTCGTCCACCCTGGGGGGCCCTGCCTCCCCCAGGGCCTCGTGAGGGCTGCTCCAGAGGCCACCTGGGCCCTCGGGGCAAAGCCGGGGCCACGCCTGGCCGGGGCCGCGCCTGGCAAGCCCGAGCGGTGGGTAGGCAGCCGCACGTGGGCCCCTCCCCCTGCGGGCCAGAGTTCTGCAACGCCGGCTGGGGTTCCGAATTCGAGTGATGCCTGCAACCGAATGAACCCCAGCGGGCTGTCCAGTATTCCGACGTCGGGCGGAGCTGGAGGAGCAAGATCCGCCCGTGGTCGCAGAGTTGGGCGATCGGCGCTGGCCTGGGTGGAAGAAGACGGAAGCGCAGAGCAGGAAAAGGAACAGGAAAGGGAGAAAGAGCAGGAGGAACACTAAGAGAAGAAGCTGGAGGAGCGGGGCGGATAGGCGCAGCAGCTGGACAAGGAGCTGGCAGAGCAAGAGCACGAGGAGGAGGGCGACGAGGAAACATGCACATGGAGGAGCAGGGGGGAGAAGCAGCAGCAGCAGCAGCAGCAGCAGCAGCAACAGGACAAGGAGGAGCCAGAAAAGGACGAAGTGGAAACGCAATCGGAGGAGGAAGAGGAGGAGGGGGACATCGGCGTCGTCGTCGGCGGCGTCGTCGGCGGCGTCGTCGTCGGCGGCGTCGTCGTCGGCGTCGTCGGCGTCGTCGTCGTCGGCGTCGTCGGCGGCGTCGTCGTCGGCGTCGTCGTCGTCACTGCCGTCCCCCATCACATCTGGGAGGGTGGGGCCCGTGGGGCTCCGGGACCCATCCTCCTACAGTTGGGCCGTTGACCCCAGGAACCCTTAATGAGGAACGAGGCCCCTTTTTTCCCATAAGTGAAACTCCGATGCTCCACGGAAAACCTCAGGAACACCCAGGGAACCTGTACAACAACTATCGGCGGTGGACAAACCTCCCTTTAGTAAACCTCCCTTCAGTGAAAACGGCCTGGGACCGAAACCGACGGACCTGGACCTGCAAAATAACGGCCGCGACGCCCTCTCGCGAGCCGAAAACGGCCAATTCACTAATCCACGTGTCAGGGTAGGAGGTCTATCAACCTCCGAAACTAGGGAACACGGAGCCCCTCCTACAGTTGGGGCGTTGACCCAAGGACCCCTCGATAGGGAACGAGGCCCCTTTCTCCCATGAGTTGACCTCCGACGCTCCATGGGAAACCACAGGAAAACCCGAGGAACACTGTACAACAACTAAGGCCCACGGAGCCCCTCCCAAACGAAAACGGCTCCCTCTTCCGCGCCCCGACTGTGTCTGGAGTTTGGACGCCCGAAATGGGTACCGAAAGACTGGGTACAATGCCCAACAGCAAATGTTGTCCCGACCCAACAGCGGCCGCTGTTGGGCGGGCGGCCTCCTGGCCCAAATGGACACAGGCCGCGGCGGCGCGGACAGCGAGTCCTGTTCAAGATGAACAGGAACTGCTGTTGGGCATCGTACCCATTCTTTCCGTACCCACTTCGGGCGTCCAGATGGAGGGGGGTCGGGCCGTGGGCCCAAAGAGGCCGGGAACCTACACCCTGCGAAGTGCTTAAGAAATCATGGGTTAAGAAATTCATAGTCTCAGAAGTTGAATAAAAGCCGAACATTTCTATTAACATCGAAAGATTTACATCGAAACGTTAAGAATAATCGAGACTCTGGCCGAAAACTTAAGTTTTCTTAAGCATCGCCTAAGGTGTACATGCTGCTCCCGCTCCCTGCCGGGCTCCGCGGAAAGCCCCCCCCCTGCCTGGCAAGGCGGGCCGCTGCAGTGCCGTGGGCCCCGCGGGGCGGGGGGCCGAGCCGGCGGTGCCGAGCTGCGGCCCCGGGGGCGGCCCCCGCCCTCCTGCCGGGGATGGACAGGCCCCCCTTTCGTAAAAGGTGGTTTCGTGAAAACGACTTGAGGCCCAAACCTGGCGGGCGCAAGCCTGGAAAATAGCGGCCGCGGCGCCCTCTCGAGAACCGAAAACGGCCACCCCGTTGGTCGTCGCCCGCGGGCGCCTCGCGCCCCGTGCACCCTGCGCTGGGTGGGTGCACCGAGGTTTTTCGCCCCGGCCTGGTCGGGTGCCGCCCGTGGGCGCCTCGCGGGCGGCCCCAGAAACGTCACTGCGCGGCAGCACGCGGGCAAAGCATCCGAGCCTGGCCACGTATCGACGTGTCAGGGTAGGAGGTCTGTCCACCCCCGATCCTTCCCCGCGGATCGCCCCTTCGCCTCGCCATCTCCCTCCAGCTCGTCGGGGCCCCTTCGCGTCGCCGCCGCGCGCCGCGCACGGGCCCCCCTCGCGGGCTGCGCTCTCCGCGGGATTCTCCGCATCGTACCGCTTCCGTGCTTCGGGTCCGCGGCGGCCCACGAGTCGCACCGCAGCTCGCACTGCGGTCGTGCTGCGGAGGGGTGCTCCACCATCGGCGAGGAATGGGCGGTTGGAGGTCGATGCATCGCCCCCCCGAGCCCGTCCCCCGAACGCTGCCCCTGCGAGGTGAACTTGGGGAGAAAGGCGGGGACAGGAGGTACAGGGGGGAGGGTACGAGAGGGAGAAGTGATCGTCGCCTCCCTCCCCATGCTTCCTGATTCCATCTGCTCTTTCAGGCCTCCATCATGGAATCCTCCTCCTCCTCCTCCTCCTCCTCCTCCTCCTCCTCCTCCTCTTCCACATCCTGCTCCTCCTCCTCCTCCTCATCCCCCGTCCCCCATGTTCTTACCCTCCCGCAAACCACCCACACCGTATCGCGCGGGCCGGTTCGGACCGATTGCCCTGCCATGGCCGCACCGCGCATCGCCTGTAAAGAGGCCCCCCCGGCCCCGGAAAGACGTGCCCATCCGTCGACGCGATGCAAGACGACTATGGAAACTAGGCGTGCCAGCTTGTCCAACGCAGGGCGCCTGCTGCCTTCGCGTCGCCCGATCGTTCGAGTCCGATCGCCCCCCACCGTCGGTCCGAGGCGCGCGGCGCCGACGCCTCCGATGCCCGCATGGGGGACGCCCAGGGGCCATGCACGGCAGGACTTCGTCACGGGAGGGGCCATGGGCCGCGGGACCCCCACGGATAGGCAATGGACTGCAGCACGGTTACGGGCCGCAGCCACAGTACGGTTCCGATTCACGATGGCTGTGGTCCACGAGAGTGGATACCACGATGAACGTCCCCTCCTCCTCCTCCTCCTCCCCTCCTCCTCCTCCTCCTCCTCCTCCTCCTCCTCCTCCTCCTCCTCCTCCTCCTCCTCCTCCTCCTCCTCCCCCTCCTCCTCCTCCTCCTCCTCCTCCTCCTCCTCCTCCTCCTCCTCCTCCTCCTCCTCCTCCTCCTCCGCCCCCCCTCGCCTCATCAACCGTCCTCATCAGACGGACGACTGCATGTCCTGACCATCGGCGCCTTCTTCTTCGCCATACGGTATGTGGGGGGCCGCCGCGACGCAATCCGCTTGTGAAGTCGCAGGACGACCAGCGGGCGAGACCCAGGACGCTCTGGGGCACGATCCGGCCACCCCTGCGATGCAACCCGCAGAACGCTTGCGGGTAGAGAAAACATGCAGTGCTGACCTAGCCCTGCCAGGCAGGTGCGAAGAACCGCCGATGCGGCCAAGATTGCTCTGGGGGTCCGCAACTAGCCTCAAAACAACCCGATTGATTGTTCTTGTCGGTTGCCATTCGGCTCTTCCGCCGACCGCGTCGCGCCAATCTGCTTTTACGCGTGCGTGTGGGTGTGCTCTGTCCTCCCGCGGTGGGCCACATCAGTGTCCAGCCGCCCGCGAACGTGGTGCCCACGGTGGCGCGCGGAGCTGGTCGGGCCCACGCCCCCCCCCCTCCCCCTTGTCCGCCGCCCCTCCGCCGTCCCCGCTGGCCCTGCCGATTCGCCCGCGCCCCATCCCCCCCCCCCTTTCACGGGCCACCCGCCCCAGGGGAACCCCCCGCTCCCCGTCGCCCGGCCACCGTGCTTGCCCGCGGCCTCGGGCTGGGGGGCGCGCCTCCCTGGCGGGGCCGTGGTGGGACCCGCGGGGAGAGAGCACGGCACCAGGGCCGACGGGGTGGGCACGCAGGAGGGGGGGGGGAGGGAGAGGGGGAGCAGGAGGAGGAGGAGGAGGAGGGAGGGAGAGGGGGGAGGGAGGGCGATGGGGGAGCAGGAGGAGAGGGAGTGGAGGAGGAAGGGAAGAGGTCCTCGAGGAATACGGGACAGCCATTCAGGACGCCCGACCGAGGAGCGCGGGCCCCATGGGGGTTCCGCGCGCGCACGCCCCTCGGCCGCAAGGCAACAGGCAAACCGCCCTCGAACGTCAGAGAGAAAGGCACACGCGAGGCTCACGACTGTGCCCGCAACGCGGCCCACGACTGTGACCACTAATATTTAACACGGGGGTCCCTTGCGAGACCTTCATGCTCGAAGGCGTCGCCCTGGTCCCCAGACTGGAAGACGATCGGGCGCGGCGTGCTATCTGGCAGATCGTGAGCACGTCCAGAGACAGTGGCCACAACGAAAGGAACACGTGATCACGCATGAAAAGCATGGGCACATCAACCGAACAGAGCGGTCACGCCCAACGAGAACCGTGGTCACGCCCTGCGCTGCCTGCACACTCCACAGTACGTCGTGCCATCCCCTGCCCTGGCGCATTCCTTACAGAGGCACCTACGCTCGCCCCCACCCCCCCCTTTCCTTTCCCCGCTCGTCTAGGGGCTCCAATGGCGCGCTCTCAGCGATTGCGTCGACCCCCGGGTCCCCCTTGGGGTCTTCCGAGCGCGGCCGACTCAGCGTCCGCAGCTCACGAAGGCCTGCAGGAGGGGCCGGCGCACCGCCCCCTCGGCGCCCTCCTCCCCCTCCTCCCGCAGGGGAAGAGGGAGGGGGCAGGGAGGGGCGAGGAGGGCCAGGGGGGCACACGCGAATGAGGAGCAGAGCAGGGGAAGACGAGGAGGAGGTGAAACCCCATCGGGTGGGCCGCATCACATGTACAGCCCGATGGTGAGACGTTGGAGAGAGGCGACCACTCCAGCACGCCAAGGCGCTGCATTCCTAACCGCGCCGAAACTCACGCTCAGCCTCATACGATGCATGCCCCTGTGGTGGGAGCGTGGCTCCGTGGGGCTGGGGCGAAACCCCGCCACGACCAAAGATGTTCAGACTTCGCTGAGTCCCACCAGCCCTTTGGGCGTGAGTGGTTTAGAGAGCTCTCTCTGTCCTCAACCCCCCTTCTTCCCCTTCGGGGAGGGGTTTACCCCTCCCCCTACCCCTCCCCCTGGGCCTGGAGAGGGACCCCCGCGGGTGGTCAGAGAGGTCTTGTTCGACTCCTGGGAGGGCTAAAAAACGACGACCCTCACGAGGATTCTGGCCCCGACGGGGGGACCGAGTTTGGCCCCTCTCCTCTTCTTTCAAGCCCAAATCATTGATTTTACTACGGTTTTGGCCCCATATTGGCCTTCTGAGGGGGCAGCGCTCCTCTTCCTTCATAGCAAAATCATTGATTTTACGAAGGTTTTGGGCTCATTTCGTCCCTCTCAGGGGGCAACGCTCCTTTGCGCTTCTGAGGAGGTCGCAAGAGGCCCCAAGATGGCCCCAAGAGGCCCCCCGGAGGCTCCCAAGAGGCCTCCAAGAGGCCCCCAAGAGGCCCCCAAGAGGCCCCAAGAGGCCCCCCGGAGGCTCCCAAGAGGCCTCCAAGAGGCCCCCAAGAGGCCCCCAAGAGGCCCCCAAGAGGCCCCCAAGAGGCCCCCAAGAGGCCCCCAAGACGCCCCAAGAGGCCCCAAGAGGCCCCCAAGAGGCCCCTCGAGGAGCCCGAACGACTCACACCAGGACGAGGGGCCCGAACGACTCGCACCACGAAGAGCCCGAACGACTCACACCATAAGGAGGGGCCCGAACGACTCACACCAGGACGAGGCGCCCGAACGACTCACACCACGAGGAGCCCGAACGACTCACACCACGACGCGGGCCCCGAACGACTCACACCACGAGGAGCCCGAACGAGTCACACCAGGAGGAGGGGCCCGAACGACTCACACCAGGATGAGGGGCCCGAACAACTCACACCACGAGAAGCCCGAACGACTCACACCAGGACGAAGAGCCCGAACGACTCACACCACGAAGAGCCCGAACGACTCACACCAGGAAGAAGGGCCCGAACGACTCACACCAGGACGAGAAACCCCAAACGACTCAAATCACGAGGAGCGCTTTCTCTCCCTCCTCCTCCGCCTCGTCCTTCTCCCGCTCCCTCCACAAGGAGGATGTACAAGGAGGCGGGAGGAAGGAGGAACAGGGGAGATATGCGGGGCCAAGCGGACACGCGCCTGAAAAACACGACTGTCGGCATGCTTCGCAAGAGTTGCTGCTGTGAGATGGGCTGGTGGGGATACGCGAAGCGTAAAGAATTTCGTCTAACCGATCCCCATCCCCAGTGGCGTGGCCTGGGCACCACTGGCCGATGTACCCCCCAATGATAGGGGATATGCGTCGTTCTCTTCGGGTTTCGAGGGGTGCATCCCCAACGGGGGTGGTAAGTTGGTGGGGGTCTCGAGGGGGATGGAGATGGGGATGGGGATCGGTGAACCGACACCGATTCACACCCACAGCCTGCTCGTCGCCCTCCTGCGGTGGACGCGCAAAGCCCCCGACCCCCGGGGCAGGAGCGGGCGGCGGCGGCGCAGGCGCTGCCGGGCGGTCCTTGCCCTCCACCACGCGCACGCCCTTCTTCTTGGCCGCGGTCGCGCGCCGAGCCGCGGCCTGGCGCGAGCGGCGCGCGGCCGATGGCCAGAGACGCCCCCCCCCCCTCGAGCGACGAGAAGAGCATCCGATACTGCGCGGGGAAGGCACGGCGGCCACAATCACGACGCAGCACACGCGAGCCGCCAGCGTGGCACACCGCGTGGAGGAGAGGGCGCCTGCACGCGAACCTAGGCGGGAAGCTTGCGCGCGAACGTCCGCGCAATCGACCCCATGTTCTTCCGCCGCTCACCTGCCCTGTGGAAGAGAGCTGTTGCCTTTTGAACCTGGCTCGGGCGTTTTGGCCCTGCCGATAAGGTGCGGTGACAGTCCGTGCGGTGCCCTCGAAATCCCGCAAGACCTCACCGCACGGTCCGTAACCTCCCCGTAGCGGTACCTAGGAGGCACCAATCGCCCGAGACATCCTCAAAGAACGACCTTAGTCCCAAAACCGTGCGGTCACCCCGAATCTCCACTGACTCACCACATGGTGTGGTCACCGCACTGTTTGGGGGCCCCCGAGTCAGGTCTGTCCCGACAAAACTGCTGCCTGGCAATCTTTGGGGGAGTGTGCATTGGGCGTTGTGAGCGCCACAAAACTGCAAGCGGAATGGCATCGGATGGTCTACATATACTCAGAGACTGCTACTGCTCGTCCCTCTGACCATCGGCGGCGCGCCGATGTAGGAACATGGAAAACCGACACCAACACTACCAGGGACCACAAGCGGGAGGAGCCAGGGAGGGGTCCCCTGGTGGTGTGGTCCCCCCTCTCGCTCGGGACATCTCCTATCCCCAGCTCGGAGAAGCATCGTGGACCTCCTCGCTGGAGGTGCCCCCCTGGTGCTGTTGGTGTCGCTTCTCCTTCCCCCCACGATGGGGGAAGCGAGACCCCAGGCGAGCCTCAAGCGCACTCGCCGTCGAGCCTCGTCGGAGAGGTGGGCAAGCCCGAGAGCCCCGCGCCCCTGCTGCAGCCGCCGAGCGGGGCAGAGCCGTCGTCGCCAGCCGGGTGCTGCTCGAGGCGGTCCTGACCGAGGGCGTCCCCGGCTTCCCGCGCCGCTCGGGGCCCTCTGGGGCCCTCCGGGCCCCCTGCGGGGTGGTCCGTGGGCCATATTCTGGGGACGCCCTGGGGCCAGGGACACTCCTGGGGCAATTTTGAGGGGCCACCTGCGAACCCTGCCCCTGCCCCCCGCGAGTTCCGAAGGGGAGGGTGGGGTCCACTTCGCTCGGGAGCTCCCGAGCGAAGTGAACCCCACCCTCCCCCTCAGGAAGCGTGGGGGGGAGGGGGAGGGTACTAAAAATAAATAAATATATAATAAGTATATATATATATATATTATGTATATATACAAATACCCGCCCGGCGGCCGCAGGCGCAGGCGCGGGCCTCTCGCGGGAGGGGCACCCCCGCGGCCCCCCGCAGGTGGGGCTCCCTCCGCGGGCGAGCCACGCGCCCCCCCCCCCCCGACAGGCGGGACGCTCTCGGGCAGCGCGGGGCGGGGGGCGCGCCCCTCCGCTGGGGGAGGGACCGCCTGGAGAAAGGGCCGCGACGGGATCGGAGGCTCGGGAGGGAGGGGAGGGGGGGGAAGAAGGGAGGGAGGGGAGGGGAGGGGAGGGGAGGGAGAGGGAGGGGAGGGGAGGGAGGGGAGGGAAGGGGCAGAAGGTAAGGGGAAGGGGAAAGGGGGCGGGAAGGGGAGGGGAGGGGGGGACAGAAGGGGGGGGAGGAAGAGCAGGGGAGGGGAGGGAGGAGGGGGGTGAGGGGGAAGGGAAGGGGGAAGGAGAAGGGGAAAGGGAAGGGGAAGGGTATAGGGAAGGGGAAGGGGAGGGGAGAGGGGGGGAGGTAAGGGGGAGGCGGGAGGGAGGGAGAGGGGGAGGAGGAAGGGGAAGGCAAATCATAGGGGGAAAGAGAAGGGGAAGGGGAAGTGGAAGGGGAAGCGGAAGGGGAAGCGGAGGGGGAAGGGGACGGGAAGAGAACCAAAGGGGGGATGATTAGAGTCACGGTGGCCCGCACTGCCACGCAGGCGAATAGCCGGGCGCGGGACGAATCCTTGTGGCCAGAAGATGCTGAACTTGCACTGGTTGAGGCCCCTCTTCCTTGGGGCCCCATCCCTTAGGAGCACCCTGTCGCCATCCCCACCGACTGGTGGAAGAAACAGTGGGTGCCCCCAGGAATGTGTGTCGAGGCACTCTGGGAGCATGTGCCACTCTGTGGCGATGTTCCGATTGTAGGACCCCTACGCCCGTACTTTGAGATTACCAAAGAGGGGGTGCTAACGACAACCAAACAACAACAGCAACAGCAACAGCAACAGCAACAACAACAACAACAACAACAACAACAACAACAACAACAACAACAACAATTACTAGCACGTGGGGACACACCGTTCTCACCAGTGCCAGGGTTTTCATAGGAGGCGGGCAATACCCCCACTTTGTGGGGGGGCCGGTTCAAGCTCTACCAAATTTCCAAACGACTCTTCGCCACCACCCACACCCAGCTTCCCGCCCTATGACGTTCGGACACTTCACTTCGTGGCATGCGGACGACCGTGGCTACTATTCAGGGCCCCGCGGCCGACGACGACGGCGTGCGCGCGCGAAGAAAAAACGAATGTGTCCCGCATGGTATTATTTGACAGGGATGATGGCCCTGGCAGGTGCGCAACCGTTGTCGCAGAAGTTCGAAAAAGTTGCTCGCAAAAGCCCGTTTGACAGAAATGTTTAAAAAGTGTTGGGTTTCCTACGAATCCGCAAGAGCGCGCGGGATGAAATTTTGACATTTGTTTTTATGTTAAAATCGCTACGAAAACTAAGGTTTTGGAAGGATTTCGTCTTGCGCGCGCGAATGTCCACTTTACGTTATTTTTTGCAAGGGATTCTTGAAGTTTGGTTATGTTAGAACAAGAAATGTCCACTTTAGCTATTTTTTGCAAGGGAAAACCGATCGTAACAACACAACCGGATCCGGACCCCCCGTTTTGCCTGAGACTTCCTCACGAAAATGATGAAAATGAGGCTGCGGCCTAGGCGCGGCGGGGGGGTCGTGCACCAGGGGCCCCAACAATAATTATTCTTTAGAAGTAATAATGTTCAACAACAACAACAACAACAATTACTAGCACGTGGGGACACTCCGTTCTCACCAGTGCCAGGGTTTTCATAGGAGGCGGGCAATACCCCCACTTTGTGGGGGGGCCGGTTCAAGCTCTACCAAATTTCCAAACGACTCTTCGCCACCACCCACACCCAGCTTCCCGCCCTATGACGTTCGGACACTTCACTTCGTGGCATGCGGACGACCGTGGCTACTATTCAGGGCCCCGCGGCCGACGACGACGGCGTGCGCGCGCGAAGAAAAAACGAATGTGTCCCGCATGGTATTATTTGACAGGGATGATGGCCCTGGCAGGTGCGCAACCGTTGTTGCAGAAGTTCGAAAAAGTTGCTCGCAAAAGCCCGTTTGACAGAAATGTTTAAAAAGTGTTGGGTTTCCTACGAATCCGCAAGAGCGCGCGGGATGAAATTTTGACAATTTTTTTTGAAAAACCATTGGTTTTTTGATGTTTTTATGTTAAAATCGCTACGAAAACTAAGGTTTTGGAAGGATTTCGTCTTGCGCGCGCGAATGTCCACTTTACCTTATTTTTTGCAAGGGATTCTTGAAATTTGATTATATTAGAACAAGAAATGTCATTTTATAGTGTTTTTTGCAAGGGAAAACGGATTACAACAAAACAACCGGATCTGGATCACATCGTTTTACCTGAGGCTTCCTCACGAAAATGATGAAAATGTAGCTGCGGCCTAGGCGGCGCAGGGGGGGCGTGCACCAGGGGGCCCAACAATAATTATTCTTTAGAAGTAATAATGTTCAACAACAACAACAACAACAACAACAACAACAACAACAATCATTTTACCCGAACGCGTGGTGTTCTCCCCAGTGCCAGGGTTTTCATACGACACCAGGCAATACCCCCACTTCGTGGGGGGGCATTACAAGCTCTACCAAATATCCAAACGACTCTTCGCGACCACCCAAACCCAGCTTCCCGCCCTATGACGTTGGGACACTTCACTTCGTGGCGTGCGGACGACCGTGGCTACTACACTGGCGTGGGGTACACACCCACAGAACTTGGTCACTTATTCGGGGCGCGCATGTGCCCAGCATGGTGCAATTGTGCCATACAATACATAATACAGAGAGACAGAGAGAGAGACAGAGAGCAGACAGAGAGAGAGACAGAGAGAGCGGAGTTGGTCACATTTTTGGGTCAAGTTCCTGGGATGATGGGAATACACAACTCTGTTACATTTGATAGTGTGCACGACACACATGAGATGATACGTACTCGCAAGATAGTTGGTCACATTTGTGGAATTCCTGGGCGCATGTGTCCCGCATGGTATTATTTGACAGGGATGATGGCCCTGGCAGGTGCGCAACCGTTGTCGCAGAAGTTCGAAAAAGTTGCTCGCAAAAGCCCGTTTGACAGAAATGTTTAAAAAGTGTTGGGTTTCCTACGAATCCGCAAGAGCGCGCGGGATGAGATTTTGACATTTTTTTGTTGAAAAACCATTGGTTTTTTGATGTTTTTATGTTAAAATCGCTCCGAACACTAAGCTTTTGGAAGGATTTCGTCTTGCGCGCGCGAATGTCCACTTTACCTTATTTTTTGCAAGGGATTCTTGAAATTTGATTATATTAGAACAAGAAATGTCATTTTATAGTGTTTTTTGCAAGGGAAAGCGGATTACAACAAAACAACCGGATCTTGATCACATCGAATTACCTGAGGCTTCCTCACGAAAATGATGAAAATGTAGCTGCGGCCTAGGCGGCGCAGGGGGGCCGTGCACCAGGGGGCCCAACAATAATTATTCTTTAGAATTAATAATGTTCAACAACAATTACTACCACGTGTTCTCACCAGTGCCAGGGTTTTCATGCGACGCCAGCCAATACCCCCACTTTGTGGGGGGGCCGGTGCAAGCTCTACCAAATATCCACACGACTCTTCGCCACCACCCACACCCAGCTTCCCGCCCTATGACGTTCGGACACTTCACTTCGTGGCCTGCGGACGACCGTGGCTACTACACTGGCGTGGAGTACACACCCACAGAAGTTGTTAAGCCTACGTTCGTACACCCACAGAAGTTGTTAAGCCTTGTTAACCCACAGAAGTTGTTAAGCCTTCCACAGAACATCTGTTGCATATGATGCATATGGTACATGATACACATGATACACATGATACGTACTCGCAAGGGAAGACGTGCAGGTGTTTTTCGAGGACCCAATGGTTTTTGGAGATTTCGGCGTGCGCGCGCAAAAAACGAATGTGTCCCGCATGGTATTATTTGACAGGGATGATGGCCCTGGCAGGTGCGCAACCGTTGTCGCAGAAGTTCGAAAAAGTTGCTCGCAAAAGCCCGTTTGACAGAAATGTTTAAAAAGTGTTGGGTTTCCTACGAATCCGCAAGAGCGCGCGGGATGAGATTTTGACATTTTTTTGTTGAAAAACCATTGGTTTTTTGATGTTTTTATGTTAAAATCGCTCCGAACACTAAGCTTTTGGAAGGATTTCGTCTTGCGCGCGCGAATGTCCACTTTACCTTATTTTTTGCAAGGGATTCTTGAAATTTGATTATATTAGAACAAGAAATGTCATTTTATAGTGTTTTTTGCAAGGGAAAGCGGGGGGGAACAAAACAACCGGATCTTGATCACATCGAATTACCTGAGGCTTCCTCACGAAAATGATGAAAATGTAGCTGCGGCCTAGGCGGCGCAGGGGGGCCGTGCACCAGGGGTCCCAACAATAATTATTCTTTAGAATTAATAATGTTCAACAACAACAACAACAACAACAACAACAACAACCATTTTAAGGCTGTACGCTCTTACTTGCCCGCGAGTCATTCAACACGTATACCCTACACCCTCGATACCCGCCCTCTTCGTCTTCGATCACACCCCTTTCGGGGGGATTATTTCTCTTTGCTGGGGCCGGCGGGCTTAGACGTACGGGCAAACCGGAACGGGCGGACAATCCTTCGGGGGCGTACATCTCTCTGCCCGCCATTGGAATTGGCGCGGGCCCTGCAAGAGGAGGAGGGGAAGAACGAGGGAGAGTGGGAGGAAGGGGAGGGGGAAGGACGAAGGAAGAGGGAAGATACCACGTTGTGAAGGCGTCCTTGGCGCGTGCGTGGTTCCTGAGCGCCGAAACGCAATTCCAGAATAATTTGTGAGGACGTCGCACGCGAGAGCGCAGTCCTGAGTACATTGTGAGGAAATCTCAAGCGGAAGCGGGGGCCCTGACTAAGTTGCAAGGAAGTCTCAAGCGGGAGCGCCGTTCCTGAGCAAATTGCACGGAAGTCTCAGGCGGGAGCGGGGGTCCTCACTAAATTGCGAGGAAGTCTCAGGCGGGAGCGCCGTTCCTGAGTCAATTGCGCGGAAATGTCAGGCAGGAGCGGGGGTCCTGAGTAAAATTCGAAGAAGTCTCAGGCGGGAGCGCCGTTCCCACGTAAATTGCACGGAAGTCTCAGGCGGGAGCGGGGGTCTTGATTACATTGCGAGGAAGTCTCAAACGGGAGCGCCTTTCCTGAGTAAATTGCGCGGAAGTCTCAGGCGGGAGCGGGGGTCCTGAGTAAAAATCGAGGAAGTCTCAAGCGGGAGCCGTTGTTGTTGTAGCCCGGGGGGCAGGGGCACAGTTTGAGCAGGAAGACTTTCCTTGAGAAAAAACAAGGTGCGAGCCCCGGGGGTGGCACTTCAATCGAAAAAAATCAATGTGCACCGGTGGGGGGGGATCAACAATAATTATTCTTCAAGAATGAGAGTTCAACAACAACAACAACAACATCCGGGGCCTCGCCGCGGCGCTTGCCCCCGACGGCGGCGGCCGCGGCGACCACTGCGCAAGCCAGCCCTGCGTGGGAGGCGGATGCGCCTGGGGGGCGTGCGGGGGGGGGTCTTCTCGTGCACCTTCCCTCCCTCCCTGCCACATCTGTCCTCCTCTATCTCCCCTGCTCGTCACCATGATCAGCCACCTCACCATGATCACCACTACCACCACCACCACCACCGTGATCGTCGTCGTCGCCATTGTCGTCGTCAGCGGCGGCGGCGTCGGCGTCGGCGTCAGCGTCGTCGGCGTCGGCGTCGGTGTCGTCGACATCGTCGTCGTGACCCGTCCTTCCTCCGCCCTTGGAATGATGACGAGAAGGAGAGGGAGCCGAGGGAGGAAGGAAGAGGGGGAGAAAGCGGGGGTGGAAGGAGGAGGAGGAGGAGGACGACGACGACGAGGCAGAAGGTGAAGGGGGAGGAAGAGTACGGAGGAGGGGGGGCAGAGAGCGAGGGGGATGCAGGAGGATGAAGGAGGGATGAAGACGAAGAGGGGGAGGAGGGAGAGGAGGAGGAGGAGGAGGAGGAGGAAAGGAGGAAAGGAGGAAAGGAGGAAGAATGGCTCAGATTCGCAGTAGGGTACAAGAACGGGTCCTCATTGGTAGCACCCCTGGGCAGGGCTGAACGAATAGCGGAAGCCCGACCCAAGATCCAAATAAGGGAGGGTAACGAACCCGCGGGCCTGTCCAGGCAAGCACCGACTGAAGGGCCGCTCAACAGGTCCATTGAATGGATGTCGTTACCCTTCCTAGCGATCCAAGCGGATCTGGGCGCCCAGGGCCTAGCGGGCGGCACCCCGAAGGCGCGGTGAACTTGCCGGGGTAGTGGTCCACTGATTGTGGAAGGATGCGACGGCCAAGCGCGGGAGGGAGCCTTTCAGCGTGCACTTAGCTCACAAGGCCCTGTGGTTCCCTCGGTGGTGCCGGGACCCCAAATGTAAGTGCGCGGGCAAATCTTCTTCCACCTCCACCGGATTAGGGGGCCAATCGCGCGGTGTCTCCCCCCATCTGAGCGCTGTGCCCTGCAGTCCTCCAGCTGCTGCGGCCCAGTTCTGCGTGCAAAGGCTAGTGCGGTGGCGTCACGGCTGCCGGCCCTCGCTGACCTGATGGCGTTCACCAGCGGCCAGGGCAGGTCACCAGACAAGAGGGAGAGTGAGCAGCTGGAGGCCAGCACTGGCCGGAGCATTGGAGCTGAGATCCCCTGGTTGACCCCAGCACCCCAAAGGCTGCTTCCTTTTCCCGGAAGCCTCTCTGGGAACATCTGGACAGGATACGAGTTGACCTGCCAATCGAGGGGCGGGGCCGACTTGATTAGAGCCACGCTCGCACTGTGTGGGCTGTCAGGGAGAGTCCTGCCCCTCTACGGGTTGTCGGCTGCACTGTTACCACGGGGTTCGCCAGAAACCCTGAGGTGGTGTCAAGAGGCCCACGGGAAGCCAGCAAAGGTCCCCAAGAGGCCCCTATGCGTTGCCTCATTGCGCAGGGAGGAGGGAAAACGAAGAAGGGAGGAAAACGACGGCGAAGACGATGAGAAGCATCCCGTTACGACGCGTAAGAGCGTGTCACATTCTACGGTTCCCTCAAGACGAAAGACGAGAGGTGTCAGCTGACGACTCTTTGATGGCCTAGAGACCAGGAGGCATGGCATGTGACGGATTTGATCGTCCTTCTTCTCTACTTTGTCTGTCCTCCTCCTGCTCCTCCTCCTCCTCCTCCTCCTCCTCCTCCTCCTCCTCCTCCTACCCCCTCCTCCTCCTCCTCCTCCTAAACAGATTCGTCTTCATCATCATAGCCCTCTCCCTGCATCCTCCTTCCCCCCTGTCATTCAAACATACCTCGACATCCGTGTCACCGTCCTTCTTCTGATTCTCCACCGAAAGAGTTCGAGCACGATCCTAGGAATGTTTGAGAACCTTCCAGACAGCCGAGGAAATCTCCAAGGCAGCCGAAATTGGTTCCCAACGTTTCTCGTCCGCTGGCCCTGGTGGTCGGGACGAGAGGTGTCAGACGTAACGGTACCCAAGCGGCGGTCCAGGAATCGCGGCTGACGACCCTGAAAGCTGAAGACCCAAAGGCGACACAGGTTACGCCCGTCCTCCGCTTTAGCGAGCCTCATCAATCCTGCGGCAGAGCGTGTCGAACGCGACGGCTCCCTAAGTGGTCGAAGGAAGGCCAAAGGAAGCATCAAAGGTGTAGACTGTTGCACTGCTCCTGCCCCACATCCTCCTCCAACCCATGTGTATTCTCGCCCTCGGCCTCCTCGTCGTCATGTCATCCGCTTCCTTCTGTCGTCCTCCTCCTCGCCTCCTCCTCCTCCTCGAACCTCATCCTGAGTGGCAATGGAGAACCTTACACGTTGCATCTCGTGGGAAATGGCGAGTCGATGTGACAGCCTGGTGCTGAGCAGACAAGCAACCGCACTGCCGTGAGGCCGAAAACGGCGAAACAGCTCAGAGGTTTGCAAGACCAGCGGGGAGCCGATCACCCGGATCAGCGCAAGCCCGGATCAGCCAAGGCCACGTCGCGGACCCTGGTTGGCCACACAGTGCACGGCGGCAGAGTGCGAGGGGCCCGCTACACGTGGCCCCCAGGAGCCAGGGCAGCCAGGGTGGATCGGCTGACCCCGGGGATGGACAGACCCCCCTTTAGCAAAACGTGGTTTAGTGAAAACGACCTGAGGCCCAAACCTGGCGGGCGCAAGCCTGGAAAATCACGGCCACGGCGCCATCTCGAGAACCGAAAACGGACAATTCACGAATCGACGTGTCACTGTTGGGGGTTCTGTCCACCCCCGACGATAGCGCCGACCCCCAATATCTGCTGCCGGCCCACACCTCGAGCCGCCCGGGACGGCCCAGCATCCACGGGAACGGCCCCCGGCGGGGCGCCGCGGATGGAACTGGAAGCCGGGGTCACCGCCAGCTTCGCGCAAACGCGCGCCCCGCGAGGCGCGGCGCGTGATTTTTGTCGCGCATTCGCGCCGCCGCCCTGGAGACGGGCGCTTCTTCCATCCGAGCCGCGATGCGCGAAACGCGGTTACGTTCGCGCCCCCTTGGGCGACGCGGGGAAAGTCGAAGGAGAAAAAACTGCATAAACTTAAACTTTGGGCGTTCCGCGCGGACTTCTTGTAGCCGCGCTGGGGCCCCCTGGCGGCGCCTCCGGCGCCGCCCCTGCCGCGCTCCGCGCGCCACGGAAGGTGGGGTCCAGCGCAGATCCAAGAAATCCTCGCGGACCTCCAAATTTTATGTTTATGCGTTTTCATTTCTTGCTCAAGATCCATCAAAAACAGGATTTCATCAAGATCCGGATTTCTGGCGGAAATGCTGTATCATTTTCGGCATACGCACCTCCACGCGGCAAACCGTGCCAAAAGCGACAAGACCTTTTCACTGACCTGGGCGACTTTGTCGCGAAGACCTCGGCCCACGGCCCAAAAATCGTCATTGGAGACTTCAACGCGCGCTTGCACGACCAATTGGGGGACGAGAAGGACATCGTTGGTCCGCATATTTTCGAGCACCCGCGCCAAACCGTGAAGGCCGATGCGAACAAATATGCGTTGGTAGAAAAATGCGCCCGGTTGAATATGCGCATCGCTAACACGTTTCCCTTGCTCCCAGGAGTTGCTTGCCATGAGCTACAACGTCGGATACCCGGTGAGGTGCGACGTGACCCCAGACACGCATTCACAGATAGATCTCTGCATGTGCGAACAAGATTGGCTTCCCCTTTCCATGCGCTTCCGCTAATAATCCCCTGGGGCTAGTAAACTTCGGGGGTCTGGCAGGGATGATCAACGATTTCCCTGGAGAAGGTGATTATGATGATGCTGCTGATGATGATGAGGGTGGTGATGATGATCCTGGGCGCTCGTGTAGACTGACCTTGTAGATATTGGCACAAGACTGACTCGAGAGATCTCGAGTCTCGTGGCTACAACTTGCCTGCGCAAGAGAGGTCCTCGGCGCAAAACGCATGTAACTTCAAAATCCAATCCTTCCCATGGCCCTGCCACACGTTCCTGACTCGGGAACGGCTGAGAAAGTGAGAATCCAATGCCCCTGCCGCACGTTCGTGACGTGGGAAAACTGAAACGGTGAGAACCCCATAGCCCTGCCACACGCTCGTGATTGCGAAAGCTGAAATGGTGAGACGACCATTGCCATGCTCAGCGTTTCTAATGCTGTTCCTAGTCGACATGAAAATATAGCAACTTCGATTCGCAACTTCCCCTGGGGATTATCAAGTTCGGCCTCCGCACCCTCTCCAAAATCAAATCCAATTGACACGGGATAAACAAGATAGAGAGGGGGGCATGATTTATCATCGGGGGCACTGGGTTATGCTCAGCTCGCTTCGACCGTGCCGGGAAGCGCCGCTGTCTTCCCATCATGTCTTGCTTTCAGGTCAATCGAGAGTGGCAGTGCCAAAGCGGGCCGCGCTGCCAAAGCGCCGCAAAGCGGGACGCTCAGCAACTCGGCGTTGAAGGTGTACGGCAACGATTTGTACAGCACCTTTCGAGGTCTCTTGAGTGAAGGGGCCCACAAACACACAAATAAATACACACAAATAACAGGATTCCCCTATATTTTCCTAGATTTTCTGGGCTTTTGTCTTCCCCCCACTTCCCATATGTTCCCATATTTTCCAGGGGAGTCGAGGATTAATTGTGTCTGTGTGTTTTTTCCCCTCCTGAGCTGCAGCGTGCTGCCCGGCGAGACGATGCCAGGCAGCGCGGTGACAGCGCTGGCGGGAAAGCACCTCGCGAAATCCACCCGCCAGCACGTCGGCGGGGACCGCCCAGCGTGGCTGGAAAAGCTCACCGCCGACGGCAACTGGGGTGAAATACGGAAGCTCTGGGAAGGGTTTTTTGCCCTTGCCCAGGGCGACTTCGCGATTCTGAAGGACAACCGGTTGGCAGCGAGCGCCAGGCGGAGACGCTGGCAGCTCACCTCGAAAAAATGCAGTGGGCGGTCCAGCCAACCACAACAATGCAGAACGCTGAGCACATCAACGAGGAGCTTCCGGTTCGCATGGGGCCCATCAC